AACTTCTAGTGTAACTCAAAGACAGGACTGTGAAAGTTACTACGGAGCATGAGGCGGCTGACATATTTTCATAATAGAGTCTTTTGTTGCGAGGCGTCCTCTGTCCGTGTGTTTTAGTAGTCTTTGGAGTATTCTACAAGCTAAGCGAAGCAGTGCACTCTTGAATCAATCGAGTTAGACTATTAGAGGATAGAAATGTCGCCGAAAACGCCCTCTGATTGAGTTGCGTTGTCAGGATAAATTGCTCGGACAGAAGGAGAGCAAGAATTAGCCTCCTAAAGGGCTTTATTATTCGGACGATTTTCTTCATTATGTCCGATAGTGATCAGAATCCAGAGCGACTGCCCGGCCATACATATCTACACTTTGTTTCTACGCTCCTCCCACGAATTGACACCATCAAGCGCACCGAGACGATAAAACAGAACAACATGCGTAAAACTCCCACTCGGCATCCATCTCCACCACTGGCAGCTCTTCCAGTCACTGAGATTGGCACGCAGTACCTTCCCCAACAGGCGATTCAACAAGCTCTATCATGAACGTCACACCACTTGTCGGAAAATACAAGCACTTGCTGGTTGAGCTCGAGCATTGCACATCACATCCACCCCCAATAGCTCCGTAGTGTAATAATTTGGTGAGAGGGTCGTACAGCGAATCTTATACCCGGAAAAGGAACGAGGCGGAGCTCTCGCGATTTTTTTTAGAAATGTGCGTTTTTTCCTTAGTGAAGGTAGTATTTACTTCGAAGTACATGTATTCATAGAAAATCAATCACAATGTTAGCCCCGGTAATTCGAAACATTTGTAAAGCTAATACTTCTTTAGTTCACATTCAATACAGTCCGACGCCATGTCTTTAAGAGTCCCTCGCTGTATGTACAACAACAACTCTGGAAGAAAAAATGCTACTTTTTGTAGTGATGATTCACTCAAACGGCCACATCTTCCAGTCTCTTCTCAAATATACCGTATTTCAAGGGCATCGCCCTCTTCGTCCACTTGATGAATCCGGTGTCAAATTCAGTATAGCTCAATGCATGCTGCATCAGTGAGCTGCTCCCACGTGATGAGGTCCTTGGCTCCACCTTCGAGCACTGTGAAGCGTAACTTCGGCCTGGGCGCTCCAAAACCACGGTGAGATTCGAGCTTCACGCTTGAGCCCTCAACGTATTCCTTGTCAACAGGCACTTCAGTCTTGCGGTGACTGCCGTAATTCAACAATGCGCCCAGAATTGTCCAATTAGTGAGAGCGGGTCATCGATTTAGATCACTGCTGCTTCCCAGAAGTGGCGCTGTTGATACTGTGTGGTCCGGCCTTCGGGAGGTACCAAGCGTACATGATGGCCCACTTGTTCCTACACCAGTCTGAACGATAGTACACTTGAGAACCAAGAGCCGAACCGCCACACTCGCCACCATCTGGCCCAGATCCCTTAAGCCCAGCACTGACCGAGCCATCAGCCTGAACAGCAGGATACGGGTGACATCCATAGGGTACGTAGAGTGATGGCTTGTATCTTAGGGTACGTTGATGGCTTGTATCTGACGGCTGCTTTCTCCGTAGGTTTCGCCCGAACGAATGGTTTGACTTTGCCATGATCGATGTAACTAACATCGGCATGCACGACGACTATAGTGGCGATCACGGCGACGACGAAGGCACGCAGGTCCGTGTTGCTTCCAGGCGCAGATGCACGTCCGAAGTGGATATTTCAAAAGTGAGTATGTCCGTACTCAATTATTCGCAACATATAGTGCTGCACCGTATATATCTCAGATATCCAAGCTACACCACAATTCGCGAAAATCTCGCTCACGTTGCAATGAAAAGCCGGTTGATGAGAATGCTAGGATGTAGGATTTGACTGACCAGCTTTCTGTGAGAACTTGTGTGGGCGTACTCGCAGATGACGCTACTATTATTAATACGCTGAGCATTTATCTCTTGACTCGCATGCTTTTCCTGTGCATTCTTTTAAACTTAAAACTAAGGAAAAGGATTGCATCGGGACCACTACTTTTCGTTTTGATACTACTAGTACGCACGAAAATCTTCTCTGCCTCGACCTCAAGTGGTAGATGGTATTCCGAAAAAAAAACTTCTACTAGCGTCTCTAGCCCTGGCAAATTTCACAAGATGCCAAATCGAACTGCTCTTATTGTAAGTAGTCACACATGACGTCTCTTGCTACTCACCACAACACGCTCGACGAGCGTATTTTTCTTATTTGCATCGCTCGTCAACAATTTCAGCTCTAATGCAATCGTACATTGTTGTTCTCGCGGAACGCCTTGTACCCGTTTATGGTGTACGTGATATCGTCTGATTTTTTGCCAAGCTTGTTCATGGCACGCTCAACTTTGCCAACCGAATATCCCATTTCTTTCCAAACGGCAAGTGTTTCATAATACTTGCCGTTGTCTCGGAGCATCGAGATGCTTCATTTTTTTTCTACGTTTGCCTGAGCTGTAGTTCAGTTTGACATTGGGTGTAATCCCTAGCTCATAGTAGTGGCTTTCTTGCGAGCTTGGGCCATATTGTCATTTGCACCAGGAACATCGTACCTTCGCGCTTAAAATTCCAACTACGAACGCTTTTTGAGCTTGCTCCGATTGTGTTGGGTTTGTTGTTGAGTACAGATCTAACAAAATGTATCCACTCTGCAAAAGCTAATTCTATCATCTATAGAAGTCATTAACGATGCAGATCATATTTCACAATTTTTTCACAATGTATCCTGCCAAACGAAGTCTATCCGCTCTCCGTTCACCACATATCATAGTCCACAGCCTTACCTGTCCGTACGAGCCAGTCAACGCAATAGAGATCGTGCCGCTTTGCAATGCGCAGCAAGCGTGCCGACGGGATAGGCTCCGGGTAGTGCTGAAAGAGCCACTCGAGGATTTCCAAGTGGCCCTCAGCCACCGCTTTGATGGCCACGTCGGCCGTGCACTGGGCCAGTCCCTCACGGTGAAGGAAGTCAAGAATGTCGAAGTGGCCACCGAACGCGGCCGCCTCCATCGCCCGGTTGTTGCATCCCATGCCATAGTTCGAGTGCAGCCACTGCAAGATATCGAGTCGACCAGCACCAGCAGCGTTGTTCATGGCGAACAGACTGCAGCCTTCATCACGGTGTAAATGCAGCCACTTGATCATGTCGAAGTGGCCTTGACGAGCAGCGCGGTCCATGGCCTCGGCCGTGCAGCCTTCCTCTCGATTCATGTGGAGCCACTGCACGACGGCCATGTGGCCGAACGCGGCCGCATTGTCCATGGCCGCAGTCGAGCATCCTTCTTCTCGGTTTTCATGTAGCCACTGCACCACATGCAAGTGGCCATTCAGCGCAGCGTCGTCCATGGCCGATGTGGTACATCCTTCAGTACGGTGTTCATGAAGCCATTTGACCGTCTCTAGGTGTCCGTAGGCAGCGGCCTGGTCCACAGCAGCGGTGGTGCACCCTTCGGTTCTATGCTGGTGCAACCACTGCACGATCTCGAGGTGGCCATTCATCGCGGAGTTGTCCATGGCCTTGGTAGTGCAGCCTTCGTTGCGGTTGGCGTGCAACCACTTGACGACGTCGAAGAAGCCTCGTCGTGCGGCCCCATTCATCGCGATCGTAGTGCAGCCTTCCATCCGATTCGCGTGCAGCCATTGTACGACGTCTAAGTGGCCGTTCACCGCTGCTTGGTCCATCGCAGAGCGCTCGCAGCCTTCAGTTCTGTTTTCATGGAGCCACTTGACTGTCTCCAAGTGGCCATTCGCGGCCGCCATGTTCATCGCGTTAGTCGTGCAACGCGAGCCGTTTGCATGCAGCCAGTTGATCACTTGCAAGTGGCCATTGGCCGCGGCCTGGTCCATCCGGATAGAAGGACATTCGCTGCGGAAACAGTGCTCGGTGAGCCACGTGATCGTCTCGAGGTGACCGTTCTCGGCCGCGTTGGCCACGGCGTTCACCGTGCATTCGTCGGCCGCGCCGACGCTGTGTAGCCATTGGATCATGGCCAAGTCGCCGTTGCGTGCGGCTGCGTCAATCAGGAACTGGTGTTCCGGCGGTGAAGTGTGTCTATGTAGCCACTGGGCCGTCTCTAGGTGGCCATTGCGTACGGCCACCAGCATCTCCCGTGCGCCCCAGAATACACCTAGCGCGTCTTGCTGCTCGTGCAGCCACTGGAGCACCTCGACGTGGCCGTTGCGGGCGGCAGCTTCCACTGCCTTGGTCACACGGGAGCGCGGGAAGAGTGCGGCCAGCCGACGCAGCACTGCTATGTGGCCGCCCGCTGCAGCCGACGCCATGGTCGAGGTGGCCAGCGCCTGGCACTGCAGCTTCCCCATGCTCTGGATCTTGGCCGTGTTTCGGGCGGTGATTCGCTCCACTAGGTGCTCGTGGCCGGCGCCGCACGCCTCGGCCAGCGTCCAGAGCTGCGAATTGTCCAGCAGCGCATCAAGCTCGCGCGTGACGTGGTCCAGCGCTTCGATGCGCGGCCACTGGCGGCAAACGAAAGCCACAGAGGCCAGCAGTGGTGGTGAAGGAGGTAGAGGTCGACGGAAGGTCTTGGCCATCGCAGAGGGGGCTCGATGAGGTGGCGGCCAGCGCGGAAGTTCGGAAGTGTGACCATGAAGAGATGCGAAAGCTGAAACCAGCTGGTGACTCCAAGCAGAAATGAGCAATCGAAGCGGAAAATCGCGAGCTGCACTTTCCGGCGGGAAGAAGCGATATTCGCAGGGTATCAGTTATTAAGATTAGTAAATGGGAATATTTGTACGATGAGTGATGGGTAATGACATAAGGTTCTGCGTCGAAGAATCTGAGGAGGACGTTGAATGTTCTTGCGGCTCGAACTGACATGGCCAAACGTTGACTCGACGCTTTGAAGACGCAAGAGCAAAATATCTGGCTGGACTTATTGATCCAAGAATGCAGAACAAGCCGTCTAAGGCGCAAAACGAGCAGCTTGTCCTTAGCTACTCGATGTCGGCAAGGCCTAAGTTATAATAGGCCGCCTATCTCGCCATTATGCAAGTCGGGATCAAAGCTCACGGAATTGAAGCCACTTGATTCGTAGTTGAAGTTGGGTTGTACATAATCTCTACACCAAATAGCAAAAAAGGACGGAATTTCTACCAATCCGTGCACGGCGCCCCTTCGCGCCGGTTTTAGAATCAAAAGTTCTTGGCTCCGCGCGCGGGAAGCTGAGGCAGGAGACGCTGGTCTGCGCGAGCGATTCTGCGGCTTCTGGGCGGACTAGGACGTCAATCTGACATGAATTTAGCGTGTCTTTCATGCGAGCAGGTTGTGGGGGTAGCACGCGCGGCAGAATCGGTCAATTGCACCAGCCAGAGCGCGCGCACGGAAGGCGTCTCAATCCTCCATTCGAACGCTGAAAAAAAGTCTTCTACCGCTTCTAGCGACGCGATATCGACGGGAAAACACGCACAGACGGCGCAACACACGACGGGCAGCGCGCAAGTGGCTCGCTGCTGCGTGTGCGATGGTATTTATCACACTCCTTGTCTGTTAAAGCTTGGAGACAGCTGGAAGCAAGGGGAATCGACGTTTACGTGTTTGGAATGCCGGTCCAAGACCAAGAAATTGACAAAGAAGGAGAAAAAGATACTAGACGATGACGCTCTTCCGATTTTAGTGCCGGCGCTGGCCTTCCCGTACGTGAGAAGACTTCAAACGGCTAAAATTGTAGGAAAATCGACGAAAACTCGTGAAATTTCAATGGAAAATAGCAAATCCGACGACGGAGTGATTGCGGAGAGTGACACTACTGACTGGGACGTGTTTTCAACTACAGTGGAGGTCTGCACTACCTGTCGACAGGTGCAGATTGCTGCTGAAGACAAGACAAACTGCCATAAATGCCACAATCCCTGTCTGCATCGACGCTGTGTGGCTCATCACCAAGCGGAACATGGAGCAACTGCTAAAAAGAAGAAAATTTACCGTGGCACAGGCAAGAAGAGACGCCGAGCGTCGTCCGTGACCACGTTGGAGTGGTGTGCGCCGTGTTTACTGGACAACGACAAGCAGGTGAAGCAGCTAGTGGACGGATCTATTGATACTCGCACCATTGCGATGCTGGTGAACGATGATAACAAAGCAGAGGGACAAGTACAGTGGTGGAAGGACTGCTGTATGTGCCAGGGACGCTTCTGCTTGCAGGAGTTTTGTGATGTACAGCAGACAGATGCCAGTTTGGAAGAAGTGCTGGCCAATGCGCCATTGGACGATGAGACTGAGTGGGTCTGTGCTCATTGTGCGCCTATCGCACGCTCGCTCGCAATGATGACAGTGGTGATTTGCGATGGCTGTGACGGAGAATTCGACATAGCTACACTGAATCCGCCGCTTACTGAGGCTCCCGAGGGCGACTGGTTTTGCTCTGCTTGCAGTATTAAACCGGAATCTTCGAGTGGTGCAGGGACATCGATGAGTGCTCGGGAGTTGGTGACAGTGTTGAGGTGCGATGGATGCAAACGTGAGGTCGACGTGGCTAATATCCACCCACCGTTGAAGAGTGTACCGATAGGAAACTGGTTCTGCAACGACTGTGTTACCGACGCAGCTGATGCCGCCCCTAGTATTGACAGTGCGACGGTGCCTCTCGTTCCTGTGACGCTGTTGATCTGTGATTTGTGCGACAGTGAATTCGACATGAAGGCGCTGGACCCACCGCTAACTGAAGTGCCGAGTGGCGACTGGTTCTGTCCAGCCTGTAGCTCTACAAAGAGCGCTCAACGTCAAGTCAAGGGCCGCAGCGGAAAGACCAAACGAGGTCGTGCGAACAAAACTGCGCTTCAATCAGCTCCTGTAAAGCAAGAGGTGGTCGTCACGGTCTTGCTGTGTGATGGCTGTGACCACGAATTCGACCCGTTGACTCTGAACCCTCCGCTACTGAAGATCCCCGATGGCGAGTGGTTTTGTCCAGCATGTAGCGATGTTCGTGCAGCTGACGGTATTCAGCGATGTGTGGGTTGCGATACGAAGTTCCACACTGGGGGAAGTGTTGCAGATCGACTGCATCGTCCAAGCGGAACTGTCGATGGCGTCATGTTGTGTGAAGCGTGCCGTAATTTACAAGTTGGATACACGCGTAGACGCTCCGCAGCTCCCATAAATGCCAGTCTCGAAGCCAAGCCTACACCTGCAATACCAGTTAGCAGAAAGAGAAGTCGAGTAGCTGCAGTGACTGATGGCCAGAAGAACCTCAAGCAGCAGAAGACAGAGCTTGGCGGCCCTCCTGCTACTGAAGGCAGCGCTGTAGTGGTTCAACCTACGAATGTAGTGTCAAGAAGTGCGTCTGTAGATGACAACACTGGGCCGCGTATACTCATCCCGAAGCCGATCACTAAGGTGGCGTCTTCTGCTGGTATTCGCAACGAGATCGACGGAACAAAGATCACGAGTGGCTGGAGCTATACAAACCCGACTGTAGTCGTTGCAGACCCCGGCGATAACTTGATAGCTAACAGCATTGATGACGTCGAAGAGAGCGGCATCTTGATCATCTGCGACATCTGCTTTGGAGAGTTCAAGATGGCGGATGTGCTGGGTACTGACGACGCCAATGCAGTCCCTGCTCGTCCGTGGTTCTGCAAACCTTGTCTGAGAGCACTCAAGCGCAGTAGAAAGAAGCGACCGCGGTTCTCCAAGCAAATGGTGCTGGAAATGCAACTCTACGGGCGTCTATTACGTGCTACAGCTGCTAAAGTCTCGGATCTAGACGCCGTTATTCGTGTGGGGAATCCGCCAAACTCTCGTGAAGAGCGACGCAGAATGTACGAGCTGGTTGGCAAGAGTGTGGGTGTGTTCTTGCAGTGGGACAAGCAGTGGGTTATGGGGCGTGTCTTGGCTTTCCATGCTACTCATCCGTCGATGCACCATACGATCCGCTTTGATGATGGAATGGTGGCATCGTTGCCGCTGTACGCATTCCCCATGGTGATTGGGACTCGCACTATGCTCTACGTTAAGACTCCAGCAAAGCAGAACCAGTGGTGGCCAGCTCAAGTTTTGCGACTGAATGCCCTTGCGAAAAAGCTTCTACTGCCCACACAAGAGGAAGAGACTGGAGCTCATTCGAACTTCCGTCTTGTTCGCATATTTGCGAGTAATGACCATGTGGAGACGACGCAGTATGTGTCGTGTTGGGTTCCTAAGTATCTGTGTCGTAGCATGAAGAGGTTTGTTCCTTCGGAGACGACAACAATGGGGAGTGAACAAGAGTTGCTGTCAAAGTCAGTGGAGCGCGCTCGATTCGAGTTGCAGTGCGAGACAGACCATTTAAGCCGCTTCTTTCAAGCGTTACTGACCGGTTTTCGACGGGTTTTAGCGTCGACACCGCCACCTACGAAGCCTATCAAAGGAGCCAAACGCACCCCTGGACACGCGGATGTCTTTGATCGGTGCGCTCAGATCGCTGAAGTGTTGGTGGGTAAAGCTATCGTTGTCACGTCGGGCATGAGCCAGTCGACGCCTGGGACGTTTAAAGTGACAAAGTTCGATCAAGACTCGAAGAAACACGTCGTTGCTCCTCAAAATGATGCAGAAATGAGTGATTCTGACTCTGAGATCGTGGTTGATCTACTTCAAGCCACTGATGGCGTCGTTTATCATCTGGACGATGTCAGTACGTTCAGCGAGCTGGCTATTATGCTCGAGTTAAGCGGCTCTGATGTCGGTGGAGGCATCCCAGGAGAATTCCACTCCAAAGAACTGCTGGAAAAGGCGATTATTCGAGAAACTGGTGTCCTTCGTCACACGTTATCGGCAACAAGTGAGAAACGGGAAGATTGCGCGAATAGTACGTGTGGATACTGCTTGCTGGATGCTGACGAGTGTGACGTTGATACGGACACACACGACGCGACAGTTACTCGAGAACAGGAGGAGTTGGTGGTGTGTTTAAAGTGCGACAAGCGATTCCACGCCACGTGCTGTGACCCACCACATGCCCCGCTCTCGCTTGTATCCCCAGAGGACGGAGAAGTACTAGTCTCGGATCTCAAGACGCCGTTCGTGTGCAGTAACTGCACGTCGTGTGCCGGTTGTCACTGTCAGCAGAACGACGAAGAACAAACCGGAGAGTCCAACCCGCGATGGTCACAATGGCGTCTGCCGCTACAGACTGCAGCGCTTTGCACCAAGTGCATTCCGTACTACAAGGCCAATCGATTCTGCGGCGTGTGCAACTTAGTACTGGACGACGAAGAGTTAGCCACCAGTGTGGATCTATTGACCTGTTCGACGTGCCACCACTGGATTCACGCAGACTGCGAGCCAGACCCACACCCAGCTTTCCACGCCTACAGTGACGCTAAAGATTTCGCTCTAGATGTCATCATGGATGCTTCAGATACGCAGTCGAATGTGGATACTGTGAAGTCAGCAAGTCGAGACGCTGACACCGAGTCGAGTCTGAATGCGCTTGTGGGCAGTCGTAGTCCGTCGGAGGAACGCAATGTGGCTAATGGCAAGAGCAAAGACGACGGAGCGGCCAAGACGGCTAAACAAGTGGAAGAAGACTTTGCGCACTCCTTACGCTTCGGAGCTGGCTACGACCCCAAGATGCTGCATAATTACGAGTGTCTGACGTGCCGTAAGGTGCGTATGTTGCATGTTTTGCATCGCCTAGGCGTCGAAGACAAGCTGGTGCTGTTCAAAGAGCCTGTGACTGAAGCGATTGCGCCCACGTACTTCGACATCATCAAGGCGCCGATGGATCTGAGTACGATGCGGCAGAAAATCCTGGATGGGAAGTACACGAGCGTCAACTTCCGTGCGTTCCGGGACGACTTTGAGCTCATGTGTTTAAACGCAGTCACGTTCAACACGAAGGAGCGGGACTTTCTGATCTGGCGTGAAGCGTGGCGGTTCTACGGTCAAGGACAGCGGATCTTCCGACAAACAGCGCCCAAGGCTCGTATGAAGCAGCGTGGAGGACGGCACTATGATGCTCTGGTGGTCGCAGCGAAGCGGCAATTGCCTAACAATTCGGCGCTTGCTCAATCTAACGGGGATTCGATCAGTAATGGCAACGAAGGTGGAGATAACGAAGACGATGAGGACTTTGACGAAGAAGAGGAAGCCGATAATGGCTCGGATGCCGGATCTGAAGCAAACAACCGACCTCAAGACAACGTCGGGGCTTCGAATGGAGCTACTGCGTTAGTGTCTGACGCAGCGTCGGTTCATGACAGCGATACGAACAGCATCGTGCCGGATTCCACAGTGAAGAACCGAGAATCTGCTAGTGACGTTACTGTTGGATCGAATGGCTCAGCGTTAGCTGTGACTACTGATCGGCGTATAGTGACGAATGATGCGTTCGTGTTCCAGAGCAAGCTGCGTAGTGTCACCTCGCGATCTCTTGTCCCGCTGTTTCAAATCGTGCAGACACGGACCTCTGCTCATAGCTACAGCTGGCTGGATCTGTGTGCGGTGTGTGGAAGTGCGGGTTTGACAAGTGAATTCATCTTCTGCGTGGATTGTGGAGAAGGTTTCCACTCGTTCTGTGTGTCTGGTATGAGCGTTGATCGTCTAGAAGATAACGATCAACTCCGCGCTTATTGGCGCTGTCCGAACTGTAAGATGTGCGAGATCTGTGGTCAACCTGGAGCTGTTTGTGGCGCTGAGAGTAACACTCGTGTTCCTGTTACTGCCGGTAATGTGGACAGCCCAGTGTCAGTGAGTGGAGACACGGAGACGGCACTGGAATTAGCCAAAGCGGAGTCGCTCTTACTATGTGGACACTGTGATCGTGGCTTCCATGGCTCATGCGTGGTACCAGCTATCAAGTTGCCGTCGAATCCAAAGAAACGCGATGGCACAAGCTCGATTCCTGTCATCTACTGCGCCAGTTGTGTGTCGTGTATGAACTGCACGAGTTCGAAAGACAACAGTGTGGAGTATCTACACTCGGACGAAGCCAAGAAGGACCATATCGATGCACTGGAACGTACGTACAGCTACGAACAAGACAAATGCTTGCATTGTCACAACCAGAAGGAGCGTGAAGTACAAGCACTTAAAGAGCGTACCAGACTATTGACGGAAGTGTGGACTGATTCGGCACGTCGAAACAAGAAGGATGCAGAGAAATGTCCACTGTGTCGACGTAAATGGGATGCAGATCTCGAGGAATTGATGCAGTGTGACGCCTGTGAACGTTGGGTGCATCCTCCCTGTGATGAACTATTGAAGAAAGAACCCAAACGATACCAGACGCTAGTGAGCGACCCCAACGCCATGTACGTGTGTGCTGCTTGTCGCCCTCAAGAGCGTCAACATCTCACTCCTAAAGTCTCGGACGGTGAAGGTTGGCGCTGCCAAGTGCTGATCGCTGATATCCAACGTAAACGCGTACAATGTGAGTCCAGTTGGAAGGAAACGCTGATGCAAATGGAGCAAGTGGAGCGCTGGAAACGTCTGGCAGACAACACACCGGTATACTTGTATGTCCTGCGTCTGGGTGAGGAATGTCTGCGCAACTTTGCGTATCGTAGTCTCAACTTCCAGAGCGATTGGTACCGGTTTACTAAACAGCAGGAACTGGATGATACCGGTGTGGCTATCCCCGAGTGGTTACTACGTAAAGCTAACCGGTATATGCGATTCAAGAGGTACATGCGTGGCCCTCGTGCAGCAGCTCGACGTCGCGAACGCAAGACGCAGAGCTTTTATTCCAAGCAAGCGGTGGGGCTGAATACGCGTAAGGATGCGAGCGCTATTTGTATGATCGTGTCTGAAGCTGCGAGTTGTGCTGCGTTGTTGGCGTGTGTGCATTTGCTGTATGGATGGAGACCACTTCCTGAAGTCGTGATCCACTTGTTATCAAGCGATGAGGAAGGCACTGAGCATCGGAAACTGGAAGAACCACTGCTAAAGAGACTGCGAAGTGGAGAGAGTATCGACGGTGAAGCAATGCAACCGAGATTGAAGTTGGAAGCGGAGATCAAGACGATCAAGGAGCAGTATGACCGCAGAGTAGGCAAGAGGCATCTGGTGCATGAACCATCGTCTGAGCTCACGGTATTTGGCTTCGGTGACGCGGTCAGTGCTACAAGCTCAGTGGAACCGGATGAGAGCAAAGAAGAAGCCAAGGCGCTTGAGTCTGTAGAATCTTCTGAGCCTGCTTCTAATGGACATGCGTCTAATGGCCATGCGTCTCCAGTGCCGACACCGTCTGCCTCTCCTCGCTTAAGCTCTGGAAGGCTGGCTCGTATGACCACTGTTTCTCCATTGCATGGATGGCCTAAGAGTGAAAATGACGGCGTTGCTGCGTTTGAAGACACGCGATTCTGCGCGCTGTGCTTCATGATTGGAGATAACTCGGCATGTGGACGCTTGTTGTACACTGAAGCGGAGACGTGGGTGCATGTGAATTGTGCCTTGTGGTCGATGGAAGTGTACGAGGACGTGTCTGGTGTGTTGCACAAGTGCAGTAAGGCGAAACATCGCAGCCGGTTGATTCGCTGTGATTCTTGTGGACTGATGGGAGCGACAATTGGCTGCGCCATCACACGCTGTACTAGACATTATCACTTCCCGTGTGCAGTAGACGCTGGAGTAGCGTTCTTACCGAACGGCGAGACTTGCTGTCCGCTGCCTGCACATCTGGATACTGTGGCTCGAAGACTCGAGACTGTGAATGGAGGAGTACCGTTAACAATACCAGCTGCATCTCCAGGAGCAGAATCGGATCCACAGACTCTGAATAACAGCGAGACGAACGCAGAATCAACTGATGGTGACATATCGAGTGCCGTGGTTGATGGGAATGAAAGTGCTGAGCAGACTGTGAGCTCAGAGGAGGAGAGCAAGGAACAAGATGCAGGCGATACTGGGCTCAAGACCCCAGATAATGGAGAATCGACGGAGGCGAGTGCAGTACCAGACAGTTCCATCACGTCAAGAGTGAAGGTATCTTCAGCAGAGAACGTCTCGACGGTACAAGGTCAGGACGAAAAGGAAGACTGTGCCTCGAATATTCAAGATGAGGTGAAGGCGAGTGAGAACCCTGAGGCAGCTGTGGTGGTTCCTCCGGTGCAGCCTCAACACGTTTTACCTGTGATCAACCCTCGTCCAGAGCCCCGAAGATCTCTTTTCAGCGACCCACCCCTTGTGACCGTGTCTGACTTGAAGAAGAAGAAACGTGCTGAACTCAAACGCGGCATCAAGCCACGACCAATGTGTTACCGCGTTGGAGCGCTGACAGTTCATTCTCTCGGCCACATTTTCGTCGGCAATGGCAGCTTCCATACACGAACAAACATCTACCCATTAGGCTTCCGCAGTACGCGCATTTTCTGGAGTACACGCCACCTGGCGACGCGTTGTCTGTACGAGTGTGTGATCTCCAGCTCTGAGATCGAAGAGCGACGTGCTCGACGCCAAAAGAAACTGAAGAATGGCGAAGCAGACGACGATAACAAAGACAGCGAGTACGATCAACAGCGTCGAAGGCCTCGCGTTGTGTTCAAAATCACGCCCTCAGACGACCAGGAACGACCCATTGTGGCGTCCACACCTGAAGACGCGCTTATTGAACTTCGCAGTCGTGTTGTGTCGCTGTATGAAGAGCAGCGAGGCTTCTCTGTAAGTCCCAGGAATGGTCAAAGCTCAGCGCGCTCGTTGGAGATGGAGAGGAATCCGTTCTTGAAGCGCAGCTCATGGTTCTCTTTCGCACTTAGTGGCGATTACTTCTTCGGCTTTGGGCTGCCTGAGATCACTCGCTACATTGAAGAACTGCCTTATGCTGCCACTACAGCGATTAGTCGTCGTGCTGTGGTACGGAAGCTACGACAGCAGCAACAACGTCAAGGTCAGAGTCCTCTAGCTGGTTCAGCCGCTGCAACGTGGGGCTCTGGCTCTCGCAAACGCAGTCATGACAGCATGGAGCATAGTGCTGTAAATGCCGCTCAAGTCATCTCTGCAATGCTCGAAGAAGAAGAAGATGAACAGCCCTACGAGTTCAGTCAAAAACTACCGTCCACAGAGACTTTCCAGACCGCTGAGCGTGTCATGGAACATCTTGTACGAGCTGAACAACGCGCCCGACAGTCGTCAGGATGTGCACGAACCGATGGCTTTGAAGGCAATCGACTGTTTGGTGCACCGAAGAAAGCCAAGAGCATGCCACGACGTCAAGCTCTTAACAAGGAGGCGACGAATGAACCGGTACCTGGAGCAACGAACGGGAACGGAGGGAACTCTAGTGGTGTGGCTATGGATATTGAACACTTGCCGATCACAATGCAGTACCGAGAGCTCCGACGTCGACCGTTTGACGAACGTATGTTGGTGCGTAAGTCTTCTATCCACGGCTACGGACTCTTCTTGAAGGAACCAGTGAGCGATGGACAGATGATCGTCGAGTACCAAGGACAAATGATTAACCAGACGGTAGCCGATGAGCGGGAACGACGCTATGAGGAACAGGGTATCGGCAGTTGCTACATGTTCCGACTGGATGAGAAGACGATCATTGATGCTACGCGGTGTGGCAATCTCGCGCGTTTTATCAACCATTCGTGTGATCCAAAGGCCTTTGCACGCATTGTGGCGGTGGAAGGGGGAGAGAAGAAGATTGTGATCTTTGCAAAGCGAGCGATTGCAGTGGGAGACGAGGTGACGTATGACTACAAGTTCCCTATTGAAGACGAAGCTATCCGCTGTGACTGCAACGCTCCCAATTGTATTGGCCGCATGAATTAGGTCCGACGTTTAAGCAAAACAGCAGATTTGGGTTCTGCATAATATGCAATATGTTTTTACATGAATGCGCAGTTATAAACCACATTTTCAGCTTGGTCTCAAAACTTTGTAAGCAATTGAGACAACCCCATTCTTGGAAAGCGTCTCTCGCGTACCTGGACCAAGCCCAATGAGACTACCGATACCCAGCGTGGTGGTAGGGCATCCACGGACCAAAAGACTGCCGCGTTGTAGTGTCAAACTCAATTCCAGGGACAACTAATACGAGCGCCACTTGATCGATTTTGTCGAGATAGTGAAGCTTCGTGATGATGTCAATAATCCCCCACGCGTGTGCCGTACATAGGTCAGTCCTTGATAGAGACATCTCAATTAAAAACGTTGTACCGCGCAGCGATAGCCGTCTTTCAATGGATAGCCTCAAGTCCCCATATCAACACATATCCTTCAGAAACCGATTCACTTAAGCTATACCAAATCGCATAATATGCGATTTGTTATACAAGCTCGGGAATTCTAAAATTTGTGATGTTGGCTCAAAATTAGGAGATTGTCCTATTTCAATAATCCAGTCCCCTTACGAAACATGCACCACAAACGCCAAAGCGGCTATGATGAACACATACTATTGTTTTTAGTAATGCGCTATTTGGAGTTATCGAGATAATTGCGTCTAAAGGTGATCTATCCATCTCGTACCCCAACAAGGACCAAAATTCTCCTATTCGATTGTTTTTTGAAAGAGCTCTCCGACAATATCTGAATCGTAAAAAAATATTTGAGATCACAACTCTCCAAAATAAACCGTCAATTTGGGGCACCGAAATTGGAGATATTTGTTTTTGGACGACCATAACTTCTCGAATATTTTACATGTTGCAACGAACAATAGCATAAAATAAGCGAAAGACGCTAGGCTTTCGATTGATGTGCTTAATTTGCGATTCGTACTTCGGTTCATTAGTTACATTTTATTCGACTTGCGGTCTCGAGAATCATTCTAGAATGATACATTCTAGAATCGAACGCCACACGTCACAGAAACACATCGAACAAGAATAGATATTTAACATTCAAGAAATTGATTCGTTAGGACTGGTTATAATAATTTCTGGAATATCTGAGGTTTTGGAACAACAAATGTCAGAATTTTTTCCCATCCATTCTAAATGTTATTCCAGTAGAACAGTGATACTTCGTTTTCCACTGGAACTACGTACCAGAGCATCCATCGGTAATCTATCCGTCACTTATTTAGTTTTTATCCAGGTATTCGTTTTCCAAATTTCGCGCTGTGTCGTTTTTACAAATAATTTCATCCAACACAAATCTTTTGTAAATTCATGATCAGATTCGTTTGAATTATAACGAGGTATCTAACTACAAGGGTAAACTCATGCATGCTCGTGTTGCCTTGGAAAGGAAAAACTTTAATCTTAGGTTTGTCTATCTGATGCCTGGTCCTGCCTTGTTGTTTTACCGGGCCTTATTAGCCTCCGTTCTCATGCGCTAATACTACAGCTCTATATTGATTCACATGCCAATATATTGGGCCGTAGAGCGATTATTAACCTCGTGCATGTTCTTCGAGGCCATGGACAGTTTCGGAGATAAATAGAGAAACGATACATGAATAGTTCTGAGGTTTTTCTATACGCGGTATTATTCAATAGAAGTGATATTCCATAAACTTGCACTATTTCGTACGTCTACTACGTACCGAAGCACTACCTATTAAAAAGACTACACAATTAGGGCTGCATCGCTTCGTCTCCACCATCGTCCAGATACCGCAGTCGAAAAGCCTCAGTGTGCAGAACTGGATCACCAACGTGTTGCACACGTTGAAGTTCCGGTATCTTGGAGAGATTGCTTGGAGGAGCCACTCCAATTTCAACCAAGCGTTCCCCTGCCTCGGTCTGTAATTCTTGAGCTCGATCGTTGTACCGCTCAATATTCTTACCCGATATGTTGTGAGCCAAGTTCATGGTTTCATTCTGCTCGTTCGGGGGTGACGGTTGTGGCTTCTCTTCCGCAATAACATTGGGAGCTCCAGTGGTATTAACCGCATCCATAGTTCCAGTATCCACTGCGTGTGCAACTATCCCGTCATCGGCTGAATCAAAATGTTTATTTTCCTGTGGCTTCGCCGTCCGAATGTCGGCATTAGGTCGACGTGAATGCGTACGCTGGACAACTGGCTGCATGATGTGCTCATCGAAAAGTGCCGCTACTTTTCTCCAGGTGCAGCTAAAGAAGTTAGGCTTCGTCGAAAGCTCAGCAATCCGACGTTTCATCAGCGCCGTGTCGTTGAGAAGCTTTTCTTGCTCCTCTCGAAGTTCTTCCGACACCTTCTTGAAGTCTTCAATCCTGATGGACCTCACGTCATTGGGAGATATTTCGACAGTTGGGGCGTGGAATCGAATGAGGTGCTCAACATCAGGTGGAAGCTTCGTCACCGCGTTGTCCTCCTCGTCCAGAGCGTCGATCACAGGGATGAACGCAATGTGTGACGTCGTGTGTTTGGTAGAATTGATCAGCGTCACGACTTTCACGAAGTCGGGCCCTTTCTCCATCATTTGGGCGTATTGGCGTTTCTTAACATTGTTGATAAGGACTGTGAATGGGATTTCTTTCAGATCGATGGAGCTGAGGACAACTTCAATGGTTGCGAGATCATCGCTGACGACGCGGCCGTTTTCAAGCCGCACCATGAAGAAGAGTTTATACATTCCGGACTGGCTGAGCGCTTCTGTTATGGCAGCCGCGGCATTTTCTTGAATGTCACGGTCGGCCAGACCGGGTGTGTCCATGTATTGGACATTGTCGTGAATACGTTTCTGGAACTCCTTGGTCAACCCCCCTCCATAGCTCAACCCCGATTTAAATATTGAAGTTCCGGCAAGGCAGTTGATCAGCGTGCTCTTCCCTGTTCCAGGGTTGCCCAAGAAGAGGAAGTTGTGCAGTGAAGGCGTCGCGGATGCAGGTACTAGAGACGCGTCCATTTGATGTTGAAGCGAAGTGAGCTTGGGCAGGTAAAATGAAGAATGAAATGTATGATGAAAATATTGCTTTAGGGTGAAGCTGTGGAGTTCACCTCAGCTACATGATTCTGGTATTCGTAGAATATTTTCCCAAGGATACGGTCAAGAGATAAGTGACACTTCTGCATTTACCTATTCTGTGAATATTATTTGCACCACTGGGTACATTTTTTCTGGTCTTCTAGATATCTCGACCACGACATTGGCTAGCACATGCGGAGCATGATGCGCAGCTTGATCTCAGTTTGCGGTCCATTGGATCAAAAAAGAAGAGACTGTTACGGTAAGTATCATTTTTCCCTCTCACCTCATCAGTTATTCCAAAAAAAAAGTCTGATCAGTGTAACACGCTCTTGATCAGGAAGAGAACCGAATGAGCTTCAATTTGGAGACTGAAAGCTAAATGTTCATCAAATTCCGCTACTGGTATGGGCTGGGAGTGATAAAGATATAGTACAATGCATATTTCACGGTGCTCACCCAAGGAAGGGGGATTTTTTTATAAGGTGAAGTTCAAAGCAATACCATTTTTACGAGTCGTAAAAGATACATAGGACAACTTTACAAGTGGTTGCAGTACACTAATAAGGCAGATTCGAACGCCCATCTCACATCGTGGTCCTTTGTAGGAAGATTTGTAACCCTTCACAACCAGTCTCTGGCAGTTCGTTCCTGTTAACCTCTGTCTTCGTTGCTGCAACGAAGTCCCCGAAACGGCTTGGAGAAAAAACTACCGGTCGAAGCGATCGCTTTATCGATGCCTTTGCCAACATCGCGGAAGAACCCCGGCTTCCCTTGCAACTCTTCCAGTCGTCGGCGAAGAGCGTTGTTGTCCTCCTGTAGCTGCTGCAACTCGGCACGAATTGCCACGAGCTGCCGTATGAAATCCTGCGGACTGATATCGCTTACGTCTTCGGGGTTAATAACTACAGTCGGCGCCTCGTCCTGGATGAACTTCGTCACGTAACCTGGAAGCGTCGTAATTGCGTCGTCCTGTTCATCGAGATCATCTTGCGTCTGAATGAACAAAAGTTCCGGCGTCTCGAACTTACCAGCGTTTATCAAAGTCACAACCTCCCAGAACGCGTCACCCTTCTCCATCATGGCCTTGAATTGCCGCTTCTTGACATTATTGATAATGACGCTAAACGGAATGTCCTTCATGTCGATACTCGAAACAACTGTTTCAATGGTGGACAGATCGTCGGCTACCACACGACCATTCTCGAGGCGTACCATGAAGAAGAGTTTGTACTCTCCCGACTGTCGAAGTGCCTCAGTGATGGCAGCGGCGGCACTCTCCATCAGTTTGCGATCTGCAAGACCGGGAGTGTCCATGTACATATTCCCATTGAATTCGTGCTTCTGGAAAAAGCTGGTGAGACCACCGCCGTAAGAGATACCGGATTGGAAGACTACCTCGCCAACCAGGCAATTGATGAGGGTGCTTTTGCCCGTGCCAGGGTTCCCGAGGAATAGATAGTTTGTCTTGGACATGGCCGTGGTTGTTTGACAGATTCGTGGTAGTTGTAGGTAAATTGCGGAATGTGTGACTTCACTGTAGACCTCATACTGTTGAGGCCATCGTTGAACTTGACCACTTAGTGAGATCGAAAGAATAATCTCAACGCAGGTTCGGCGACCTTATGAAACACTGTCTCGAAAGGTCGCAAACGCTAGTAGCCCTCATTAAAAAAAACTAGGTTGGCGTGAATTTTTCGCCTCTGTATGATTTTACTTTTTTTTAAACAGTCGAAGCCAGTGAGGTATCTACACGAATTTCTTAGCGATCTTGATGTAATGGAAGATCATGTTATACTCGCAGCTGCACGCGGGTTCTAGCACGAGCTTCGCATCTTTCCGTTCCTAAAGGGTCCGCTAAAGCGACACTTGAATGATGTATCAGGTTCCTCTTCTGCTGGTCACCCCATGCCGTGTCTGTTCTGCTCCAGATCTTTAACATCGAGAATAGAATAAAATGGTGTGAACTCCTCAGGTCGTTCCTAGAACTACCATAATTATTTTCTTAAAATAGTTATTCAAAATAATAATAAACCCAAATCCATCATTCTTAAAATTGGTGCTGCATAATTACTCAAATTCGACCCCATCTCTTCTGCGCCCGACAGCGTCAGCGAGAGCCCGTCGGCAGTCAGCACTGCTGACTCAGAAGCGCGACCTGCAGAAGGGCGAAAACCTGATACACGGTGATTCACCGTCGGTGAATGATATACCTGCCCAGAGTGCCGTTTGAGAACTAAGATACTTGTTGAACTACAACTTATTCCAAGACTACGTCCATCTGCACTGTGCAGTGCACACGCCGCAATAATTCTTGCAGCGACTGGAAAGGGATCTAGTCTATTGCAGCCGTGGTGGCAGAAGAAGGCGTGCAGTCTGTTCAACATTCTTGTACACCAGGTATACTGCACTTTTTGTGTTAACCTTATGGATTAAGTCTTACTACCCAATCAAAAGTACCAGTCCACGCAGCATTGGGAAGGCGAGTTTGATGAAAGTCCATTGATAGAAAGCGTATTACATTATGCATCTTAGTCCGTATTCTCGCGAATTGGGTCGGGCGAAGCCAACCGTTGTAGCTACGCTAACAACACTGAAAATGCAGCCTCCAGGGCAATGCTAAACAAGTTGCTGCCAATAAACTCCACGAGCACGGACACTGCCACCCCAGAAATTCGCAGTAGTACGTCCAAAAATCGAGGTTTCCGGATAAGGTCCTCCGCTCGTTGGCGCAATGCTTCGTTGTCCTTACGGAGTTGCGCAAGTTCTTCCCGAAGGTCGCCGACGAGCATCTTATAGTCTGTGAGTTTGATGTCGTGGACGCACTCCGGAGGGATAACAACGGATGGCGCACTAACTCGAAAGAACTTCGCAACATCGTGAGGGAGTTCAGTACACTGGTTATCCATCTCGTCCAGCCGTTCCAGTGTCGGGATGAACGTGACGTAAGGCGTCGTGTACTTGGACGAGTTGATTAAAGTCACGACTTTGAAAAACTCGACACCTCTCTTCATCATCGCGTTGTGCTGGCGCTTCTTGACATTGTTGATGACGATAGAAAATGGGACGTCTTCCATGTCCATCGAGTCCATCACAGTCTCGATGGTCGCCAGATCATCGCTCACTACACGTCCGTTTTCAAGACGCACCATGAAGAACAGCTTGTACCTCCCGGACTGACGCAGAGCCTGTGTGATGGCAGTTGCCGCTTGTTGTTTGATTTCTCGGTCGGCGAGGCCTGGAGTGTCCATGTACACTTTGTCATGATCCGAGAACTTCTGAAAAAAGTGGGTCATGCCAGATCCATAGCTCAAGCCGGATTCGAACTCTTGATGCCCAATGAGGCAGTTGATGAGCGTACTCTTGCCAGTGCCAGGGTTGCCCAGGAACAGGTAGTTTTCCTTCATTGCAAATCTGACGAGGAACTGGTTACGTTCAAACGAGGATGCAAAAGACAAAATGATCGCAAAGGAACAGGCAGCCTTGTGATCTTTTTTGGCACGATGAAGGGGCTCCTTCGAAGAAAAGCATGATCCTAGAAATGATTGTATGCTCGTTCCGAGATTATGCGGAGCTTTCTGCAAAACTTTATTATGAGGAATCAGTTTGAACAAGAGGCAAAACTCGTATTCTACGGAGAACCTGAGTTTGTTTGCAGCCGTCATAGTAGTAGACGAGGAGTTAACACCGGGAATGCCTCATACGGATTAATTTCACTGTACTGCGTAGATCGAAATGCGTAACGTAACCTGGGTCAACATTCGTGTCACATCAAATGTTTTTTGCAGTTTGCTCAGTTACTGTTTCTTTCTTTTTCGTATGAGAAGCACAGGCGCTGCTGAAGGTTTTGTTTCGTTTTATGAAGCGGAATCGTTGGAAGTGTCAAGAGTATTCTACGAGATCCTGTGTGGAGAAAATGAAAATGATAGAGTATGCAAGGAGGTATAGTGAACCAAAAAAAAAAAGATGACTGAACGCTACTTGAACGGCTTTTGTGGCATCAGGAAGAGTATGAAGAGATATGAAGAAGAAACTGTAGCTATTTCTGTCTCTGACGACGCCCGATGTGAACACAAGTAAGCCTACGAAGCGGATATTTAGATCATTTAAACACTGTTTTCAGTTGAGCAAATGCAACTCATTTTATGTAGAGTATAAGTGAAAACTGGAGTAGTCGATGCCTCTGAAAAATTCCAATAATGCATCAAATAGTCGATCAAATAGAGTACTGGACGGCTTAAACAGCTAGGGTTTATAAAAACTAGCATCTCAATAGGCCCAGCTCTTCGATTTCACTACAGCTATGATGGCTACACTGCCAACCGACGCTAGAGTAACGCGGCGGAATTAGCATTACGCCAATTTCGGTTGGAGAATGTTACGGCCACACTCTGAATCGTTGCTTCAACGCAAACGAAATTGCATTTGCATCAGGTCCGTTTCTGCTGGCCACCCCAGCGAGTCGGTCGCCTTGCCGCGTCTGTTGTGCTGTAGATTGTCTCCAAGCAAAAAAGAGAAATGAATAAAAATTGGTATGATGGTTGCTGCACTGGATGCTACCCAAAGCTGCTATAAATGCTGAATTATACAGACCTCCGAGAGTTGATATACCTAGTCTATCACCACTGCCGGTCTGGGCGAGTGTAGTGGGTGCTGGGTATGAAAACCTCACGTAACTCTACAGTTGGTAGACATAAATTACAGCTTTGATTTTGTATGGCAAGGTACCTATGGCGAACTACCTTCCCTATCTAGCTCCCCACATAATCTTTGCCATATCTAATGTTTACTGACACGGGTCCCGTAATCGTACCGTAAATTCTACCGTAAACTATCCCATAAACAAATAGATATTTACAGGGATCTACTGTACTAACCAACGTAAAATCCCGAATAATAGTCCCTTTCACATAGAGCAGGTGAGACAGAGAGAGTCTAACTTTAGGAAGATAACCCTCAATTACTGTTGGTGTCACAGTAAATACTAATATGTGGTCATTCGATAATCGATCGCCGTCGCGTTGACCCATATTCTCGAAGAGCTGCTCGCTTTTTTAAAGCATTTTTAGCTTCATAGCATTTTTTATTCTAATGATATTAGGTAGAATGAGTTGGCTGTATGACTGTACCCAAAGACAGTAGTGGCATACTAGTCGCCGACTAATGCAACCTAAACATGATCTTATACCAAGTTCTCTGAAGGTAGGAGTATCTCCGACAGTTCTGGTGACGCTTGGCATTTTGTAGGCTTTTTGGGTGTTAGCACTCTCAGTTTTCTTGGGGTTGGTCAGGTTTTCCGGAATTCGAAATAGTAATTTAAACTGTTTCTGGTCCGAGTACCCTGGCTGAGTATACTTGGTAAAAAAAGTAACACTTATTTGTTACAGCATTTCTGTGCTTTTGATTGGCTTAAGAACCGAAAAACTACTCCTGTTTTCAAAGTCGCAGCTCAGAGCACTAAGAAATTAACCCTGGATATACTAGGTGAGTTGGTGCTGATTTATGAATATTAATGCGTACCTGCCCATTTTGGGACATTTGTACTCCATCATACATCTTCAAAAGCATGTGCACCTTTATCTTCGTACGTACAACAATTTACAATACACAATAGAGTTCATCCCACCACGACACCAAGCCGAGAGTTATACCTTATGTGGCTCTTTTCAAAAAATGTTTGGATTTGCATTCAGAATACCTCAAAAACCATTTCTTAGAGGGCGCATAAGGCTGATTCTATTGTGCATGCAACTAGCGGAGCGAATTTTGATTACCACTTCCGTTACTCTCATCAGTCCGTTGTAGCTAAAGTGACGAACTCTCTCTTTGCTTTTGCAATTCGTCATGCACTGAAATTAAACGTCAGTCTTCCAGCCGCCCTGCCGGGCCGTGGCGATTTCTGTGCTTCGACTTGTGTGGCAGCGGCGGTGGTCGTTCTTGCTTTCCTTCTTGAGCGACTTGTGGCGGAGTACACAGTACCGGAGTCGGCCTCACG